TGGAAAATCAAAACTGCAATGACCACACCAGGTATCCTAGCCCATAGGATGGCTATCATAAAAAAAGAATGGTAATAACCAGTATTTGGGAGGATGAGGAAACATTGAAACCCTCTACACTGCTGGCGGAAATGTGAAATGATGCAGCTGCTTTGAAAAATAGTCTGGCAGTTCCTCAAAAAGTTAAACATAGAGTTAGCATACAACCCACCAATCCCACTTTTAGGTATATAACCAAAAGAATGAAAACATATACCCACACAAAAACTTGTGCACAAATGCTCATAGTGGTATTATTCACAATAGTCAAAAAGTGGAAACAGGGACTTCCCTGAGAGTCCAGTGGTTAAGAATCCACCTTCCAAATAAAATGTCATGTCAGAAAAAAGAAAAAAGAACTCAGCCTCCAACATGGGCGACACGGGTAGGATCCTCGGTTGGGGAACTAAGATCCCATAGCCCTCAAGGCAACTAAGCTCACACACTGAAGCTAGAGAAGTTCACGAGCCACAGACGAAGACCCAGTGCAGCCAAAATAGAAGGGAAAAAAAAGTGAAACAGCTTAATGTTCATCAACTGATGAACAGTTAAACAAAATGTGGTCTATTCATAAGATGGACTTTTTTAAACTTTATTATATAATTAATTAATTTTGGGGGGCTTGTCACATGTGGGATCTTAGTTCCCCCATCAGGAACTGAACCCATGCCTCCTGCAGAGTCCTAACAACTGGACCACCAGGGAATTCCCCCATAAGACGGAATATTATTCAACCATAAAAAGGAAAAAATAGACACATGCTACAATATGGATGAGACTTGAAAACATTATGTTAGATGAAAGAAGCCAGTCACAAAAGAGCACATATTATGTGATGCTATTTATACAAAATGTCCAGAGTTGACAAATGAATAGAGACAGAAAGAAGAACGCAGGTAGCCAAGGGCTGGGAGAGGAGGGCACTAGGGAGTGAAATGCTGCTGCGTGTGGGATTTCTGTCTGAGGTCATGGGATGTTCTCAAACTGATGGTAGTGCTGGTCCCAGACTCTGAATATACTAAAAACCATTGAATTGTATGGGTTTCCCAGGTGGCGCAGTGGTAAAGAATCCGCCTGCCCATGCAGGAGACACAAGAGATAGAGGTTTGATCTCTGCTAATTGTGTCCGACTCTTGGCGACCCCAGGGACTGAAGCCCTCCAGGCTCCTCTGTCCATGGGATTTTCCAGGCAAGAATACCGGAGTGGGTTGTCATTTCCTCCTCCAGGGGATCTTCCCAACCCAGGGACCGAACCCGTGTCTCCTGTGTCTCCTGCACGGGCAGGCAGACTCTTTACCACTGAGCCGCCTGGGAAGTCCATGGGGTGGCAAAGAGTCGGCCACAACTGAGCAGCCGAGTGCACACATACACATTGAGCTGCACGCTTGAGATGGGTGCGTGGTATGGTTCATGAGTGGTTTCAATAAAGCTGTGTTCAGTCAAGCCTCCCTGCTGGGCCTGGGGGTCTCGGGTCCGGCTTCCACACCGGCCTCCTCTGACTGATGAAGTCCTGACTTCACTAGGATGCCAGGGCCGGCGTGGTGAGTACGGGAAGCGCCCCTGAGGTTCTGTCTCGCAGCTCCCTGCTCGGTCAGGTCCCCGCTGTGCAGTCAGCCCCCAGGTGGAGTTTTGTGGCCTCCACGCTCCCGTTACAGGGGGTCGGAGGCCCAGTCGGAGCCTGCCATCAGAGAAGGACTTGGGAGCAGAAGTGCCAGGGCCAGGTCCTTCCTGCCCTGTTCCTGCTGCCCTTCCTTCAAGTATGCTCGAGAATATGTCCCTCTTTCTCTAAGAAGCCTCCCCAAGAAGATTGGGAGACGGCCACAGGCCTGGGGTAAGTGGCAGGGGGAGCGCGGCCTGCAGCTGAGACAGACCTCAGCCCCAGGCCGGCAGGTGGCCACAGGGTCTTCTCACTGGAGCTGAAAGGCCCTGCAGCCCCAGGTCTATCTCGTTTCCCCACTTTGGGGGACCTCTGCCTTCCTGGGGTTGCTTGGGGCATGCCGCTCCTACCAGGCCTTGTGGCCCACTGCGTCACATCTCAGCTCAGGGGCCACCTCCTCCAGGGAGCCCTTCTGCCCTCCCTGACCACCTGAGGCCCCTGTCCCGGCCCAGGTCCCTGTGATCCTGCTTCCTGGCACCAGTCACCTTGTGCGGCTCTGTCTTTCTCTCCTTCTGGAAAGTAAGCTCCATGAGGCCACTCTGTGGTCTGAGGGCCTCACGCACAGCAAGGTTCATTCAATCACCCCTGCTAAAGGTCCTGGGTTCAGTCTGGGATGTTTGGACAAAACCCGAGTCAGAGTGTAAACGTGTCGCCATGCAATGAGCACTGGGCATGTGTGGCTTCCCAGGTAGCCCCACGGCTGGCAGATGCCAGCTTTCAGGCTGCCACCAGCTGCACCCAGACATTTAGACACTCAGAGACAAGGTGTCTCTCATCTAGAAACCGCCTTCCAGCGTGTGGTTTCCTGTCCAAGGACACACCCCTTATCTACAGGAGGGACAGTGGGAGTTAGCTACTCCTCCCCACCCCAACTCCACAGGATGCTGGGTCAGAAAAAGGCAAACCTGCTAAAGTCCCCCTGAGACAGAGAGACACACGGACAGGGGAGACAGATGGCCCTGGCAGGTGATTGTGGGAGTGCTGGGTCCTGGAGACAGATCACTGCCACAGGTGCCAGGCTCAGGGGAGCCTCAAGGGGTCTTCTCCTGGGCAGGGTAGCTTAGGACACCTGGGCAGCTCCTCCTCCCTCCCCGCTTGAATGTCGGACACCATCCCTTTGCCCCAGGACATCCAGACAATGTGTGTGCATGCTCCATTGCTCAGTCCTATCTGACTCTTTGAGACCCCAAGCACTGTAGCCCACCAGGCTCCTCTGTCCACAGGATTTCCCAAGCAAGAATACTGGAATGAGTTGCCATTTCCTCCTCCAGGGGAACTTCCCCACCCAGAGATCAAACCCAAGTCTCCTGCCTCTCCTGCATTGGCAAGCAGATTTTCTACCACTGCACCACCTGGGAAGTCCCAGGACAGTCAGAGATCATCTTTAAAACCTTAACTGGAACCTGCCTTCCCAATTCGCAACCCCCAGGCTTCCTGCTGAGGATAAAATTCAAAGCCCCCTCAGCAAGCTCCAGGCCCCAGGTGGGTATGGGTCTCCCTTCCTGTCCTCTGATCCCTGCCCCCCCGCCTCACCTCCTCCAGGACTTTGCGCAGGCTGTTCCTGGCCTGGCGTCCCTGCCCCCTCACTCTGCCGTCACCTCCCGGGAGCCTTCCCACCTCCCACCTCCAGCAGCCAAGGCCTCCTGCAGGCCCTCAGCTTTATCTCAGTGACAGTTGTGGCTCTTTGTTCTTCTGTGTTATCATTCACTCACTAGACTCCACCTTGGCACCAGGGCCTGTCTGTCTGTCCCGCTCACAGCGTGCTCCAGCCCTGGCCGGTGCCTGGCCTAGCGGAAAACATACCTCCAGGTCCTCCTCGTGGTGCCCACGTGGGGCGGGGGGCTGTTGAGAGTGGTGCAGGTGAAGGTAAGGCTGAAGAAGACCACCTCACCGCTTGCAGGAAGGGCCACCATGGCCCAAGGGCAGAGCTCAGCAGAAGCCTCTCCTTGGTCCTCCCGCCCTTTCACCGGTCTTCCTCCCTATGGCCCAAGTATCTTTTTTTTTTAATTAAAAAAAAAGACTTTATTTTATTTTTTCTAATGGCAGAAAGCAAAGAGGAACTAAAGAGCCTCTTGATGAAGGTGAGAGAGGAGAGTGAAAAAGCTGGCTTAAAACTCAAAATTCAAAAAACAAAGATCATGGCACCCAATCACATCATTTCATGGCAAATGGAAGGGGAAAAAGTGGAAGCAGCGACAGGTATTATTTTCTTGGTCTCCAAAATCACTGTGGACGGCGACTGCAGCCATGAAATTAAAAAACACTTGCTCCTTGGAAGAAAACCTATGACAAACCTAGACAGCATATTAAAATGCTGAGACATTACTTTGCTGACAAAGGTCCATCTAGTCAAAGCTATGGTTTTTCCAGTAGTCATATATGGATGTGAGAGTTGGACCATAAAGAAGGCTGAGTGCTAAAGAATTGATGCTTTTGAACTGTGGTGCTGGAGAAGACTCTTGAAAGTCTCTTGGACATCAAGATCAAACCAGTGAATCCTGAAGGAAATCAACCCTGAATATTCACTGGGAGGACTGATGCTGAAGCTAAAGCTCCAATACTTCAGCCACCTGATTCGAAGAGCCACCTAGTTGGCAAAGACCCTGATGCTGGGAAAGATTGAGGGCAGGAAGAGAAGGGGGCAACAGAGGATGAGATGGTTGGATGGCATCACCGACTGAATGGACATGAGTTTAAGCAAACTCTGGGAGGTGGTGAAGGACAGGGAGGCCTGGAGTGCTGCAGTCCATGGGGTCACAGAGAGTCAGACACGACTCAGCAACTGAACGAGGACAAGGATTTTTTTTCTAGCAGCATCACACAACTTGTGGGACTTTAGTCCCCAGACCAGGGATTGAATCCAGCCCCTCAGCAGTGAGTGCAGAGTCCCAACCACTGGTCCGCCAGGGAATCCCCCGAACATCTGTCTTGCTGATGTCTGTCTTCCCACTGGCCTGGAACACGTGGGCCTCAGTGAAAGTTAGGGGCTCTGATGGGTGGCCGGAGGAAGGCGTCCTTTCAGGCAAGGGCACAACTCAATAGTGTCAAGACAATTTACCAAACACCCGACATTTTCAGAGCCAGGGGAGGAATGGGGCAGACCTGGGGCAGCCCCGCTCCATCTCCGGGGAGCAGCCTCCGCCTGTCCAGACTCCCCTCTGAGGAGCGGGTGAAGTCTGTCCCTGAGGGCTGCCTCAGAAATCTCAGAAAGCCTTCGAAGGAATAGAACGATGGTCAGTGGAACCCATTCATTCACCTTCAGTCTTGCCCCAGAAAAGATTCGTGTCTGACCCTTTGTGACCCCATGGACTGTAGCCCACCAGGCTTCTCCGTCCATGGGATATTCCAGGCAAGAGTACTGGAGTGGGTTGCCATTTCTTTCTCCAGGGGATCTTCCCGACCCAGGGATCAAACCCAGGTCTCTGCATTGCAGGCAGACGCTTTACCCTCTGAGCCACCAGGGAAGCCCTCAGTCTTGCCCCAAGCCTCACCAAAACGGACAGAAACAAGAGCAGCAAAATCTTGGAAGCCAAAAATCAGGTGGGTGAGTGGTCACTGACTTCACCCACAGCTAGAGCTGGTTCCAAGTCCCACTGTGGGGGAAGCTGAGGGGTCGCCCCTGACTGTGCAGACCCCCAAAGCCCTCCCATCCACACTGTGGGCACCAGGCCCTCCTCCCTTCCCCGGCCCCAGTCCAGGGGGAGGAGGGTTCACTACTTTCTGGTGCACTTAAACCTCTTCACGTCAACCCAATGAACTAAGTGTGACTCCAGGTGGCAGAGCCGGCCAAGGATGGAGGGACCCGGCCAGAGAAAGGCATGAACCATGGGCAGACGGAGACTGTGTGGATAAGCCTGAGAGCAACATGCTAAGTGAAGGAAACGGGCCCCATGGTGTCTGATTCCATTTCTGTGAAATACAGAACAGGCAAGTCCACAGAGACAGAAAGCAGATCTGGGTTGTCAGGTGCTGGGGAAGAGGGAATAGGAGTGACTGTTTATGGGGCCAGGGTTTCCTGCTGAGGCGAGGAGAGGGATCTGCAACTGATAATAGAGATGGTTGCACAATACTGTGGATGGACCCAACTGCAGCTGAGCTACAGGCAGGCTCCAAAATGGTAAAATGATACATCTTATGTGTATTTTCTCTCTCTCTCTCTAACACACACACACACACACACACACACACACACACACAGGAATTAAGGGGCCAGAGTTGGAGCCCAGCCTTCAAATTCAAGGCCAGGACCCCCCAACAGGGCCAGAGGGGATGGTGGGGCAGGTGGTAGACAGCCCTGCATCTGGACACAGCTGTGCACCCTGCAGTCTGTCCCTCAGCCTTCCAACCCCAGCTCCTTTTTTTCCATTATGATTTCTATAATTTTAATTTATTTTGGCTGTGCTGGATCTTTGTTGCTGCAGCTTCTCTCTGGTCGCGGCGACAGGGGCACCGTCTAGCTGCGGCACAAGGGGTCCTCACTGCGCTGGCTTCTCTTGTGGAGCACGGACTCTGGGGTCCGTGGGCCCGATAGTTGTGGCTTCCGGGCTCCAGAGCACAGGCTCAGTAGTTGGAACGCACGGGCTTAGTTGCCACGCCAGGTCTTGCCTGGATTCTTGGGCTAGGAGCCCGAGGTCCCAGAGGAGGGCGTGGTCTGTGATGGAGCGGCCTGGGTGTCAGGCATGACTGTCACAGTGAGAGAAGCGCTCGGGCCTGCACGGGAGACACTGCTGGTACTGTCTGCCCCTGGCCTCCTCTCTCGCTCACCCCTCGGCGATCTCAGGCTGGCCCGTGGCCTTAAAAAACACCTCTACCCGATGACTCCCCAGTCTGTGTCTCCAGCAGAAACTCGCCCCTCAAGCCCGGCCACCCGCTCCATCTGCCCAGGACTGTCCGGCGGGCCCACGGGCATCACGCCCTGGGCCCCACCCTGGGGAATGTCACCTCTTCTCCCATGTGCTCACTTCACAACTTTGGAGGCATCTCGCTTGTCTTCTCTCCTCAAACTCCACACCTGCCATCTGCTCTGCCCCCAGGCGGGTGCAGAATCCAGTCTCCGCTGGTTCCTCCACCGCCCCCGCCCAGGAGGAGACCTGTCACCTCTCACCTGGACTGTAACAACTGACTTCCTGGCCTCTGCCAGAGGAAGACGGTGAAAACAGAAACCAGATCACGTCATTCCCATGCTCTAAACCTTCCACAGGATGCCCTGGTGCCTCAGGCGGTAAAGAATCTGCTTGCAATGCAGGACATCTGGGATTCACTTCTGCGTCAGGAAGATCCCCTGGAGAAGGGAATGTCTACCCATTCCAGTGTTCTTGCCTGGAGAATCCCATGGACAGAGGAGCCTGGCGGGCTACAGTCCATGGGTTCGCAGAGTCGGACACCACAACTGAGTGACTTATACTTTCACTTTTCGGACCCTCCAGTGGCTCCCACCTTATTCAGAATGGAAGCAAAGGCTTTCCAGTGGCTCAGAAGGCCCCACCCAAGCAGGCCCCTGGGACCTCTTGGACCCTGTCTTGTCACCTGGCCTCCTCTCTGTCACAGCTTGGCTGTGGCTTCACTACCCTTCCTGCTGCTCCTTGAACAGACCAAGCTCGCCCAGACCTCAGGGCCTTTGCACCTGCTGTCCTCTGTGCCACGAATGCTCTTCCACTAGAGACTACATTGGCGCACTCCTCACCTCTATCAGATCTGTCTGCCCTTCTGAAACAGGCCACCCTCCACCCAACACACTTTTTCATTTGCACACGTCATCAGCTGGTGTGTTTTTGCCAAAAAAGGCCCATCTAGTCAAAACTATGGTTTTTCCAGTAGTCATGTACGGATGTGAGAGTTGGGCCATCAAGAAGGCTGAATGCCAAAGAATTAATGCTTTCGAACTATGATGCTGGAGAATCCTGTTGAGAGTCCATTGGACTGCAGAGAGGTCAAACCAATCAATCCTAAAGGAAATCAACACTGAATATTCATTGGAAGGACTGAGCCTGAAGCCGAAACTCCAATACTTTGGCAATCTGATGTGAAGAACTGATTCATTGGAAAAGACCCTGATGCTGGGAAAGATTGAAGGCAGGAGGAGAAGGGGGCAACAGAGGATGAGATGGTTGTATAACATCAGCGACTCAATCGACGTAAGTTTGAGCAAGCTCCAGGAGTTGCTGATGGACAGGGAAGCCTGGCGTGTTGTAGTCCATGGGGTTGCAAGGAGTTGGACATGACTGAGCCACTGAACCACAAATAACACTGTCTGGCTCACGCTTAGCGTGACAACCTCTTGAGGGCAAGTATTCCTGTGTATTTTGTTCGCTCTGTTTCTCTAGAACCTAGAGCAGTGCATGGCACACGGTGGGCTTCCATAAATATCTGATAAATGGAGGAAGCGCTTTCCGGTGAGCACACGGGGCCCAGAGGGGCAGAGCAGTGCAGCTGTGAGTGGCAGCTCCAGGGTTTCCTCCAGGCCTCGCTCTCGGGCTCCCAGATCCCTCCAGCCCACGGCGCTTGTTATTTCTGTTAGTAGCTGCCCGAATGCAAGACGGAGTGTTCTCACAGCGTCTTCTTGCTGAGAAGGCAAATATTCAAAAATACTTTGACAATGACATTCTCCACTTCCCTGAGGCTATGTGAGATGCCAAAAATGATGCGACTAATTAGCGGCACCGACTCCCCGCACACCCTGGCATCTGCGTCTCCTGGGGAGAGAGCACAGTGGCCGGGACTCTCTGGGTGCTGCCGGGGGCCCCCAGGCAGAGGGCGGTGGAGCTGGAACCTGGGCCAGGACTTGCTGTGCTAGGGCCACCCGCGGGCCCCTGAGCACATCCCTGGGGTTCCCTGGCCTCAGTTTCCCCATCTGTGAAACGAGAGGCTTTTGCCTCGGCTTCAGGTCCATATGCGACCTGACCTGCGACAGGATGCTCTGACGCCATGTGTCAGCCCCGCTGAGGCTTGAGCGGTTTTATCTGAACCTCAGAGACTTGAGTCCCTTTCACTTAAGCCCACTCTCAGCCTCGTTCACTCTTTTTTTTTTACCTTAGTTTTGGCTGCACTGAGCCTTCGTTGCTCTCTGTGGGCTTTCTCCAGTTGCGCCGAGCAGGGGCTCCTCTCTAATTGCAGTGCTCAGGCTTCTCATTGCGGTGACTTCTTTAGTTGCAGAACACAGGCTCTAGTCACGTGGGCTTCAGTAGTTGTGGCGCATGAGCTTCGTTGCACATGGCGGACCAGGGATCGAACCCATGTCCCCTGCATTGCAAGGCAGATTCTTAACCCCTGCGCCACCAGGGAAGTCCACAGCCTCCTTCACTCTTTGACTGTGCTGTGGGATCTCAGTTCCCAGACCAGGAATTGAACCCAGGCCCTGACAGTGAGAGGGGAGAGTCCTAACCACGAGTGAGTATGAGTGCAAGTCGCTCAGTCACGTCCGACTCTTTGTGACCCCACGGACTATACAGTCCAAGGAACTCTCCAGGCCAGAACACTGGAGTGGGTAGCCTTTCCCTTCTCCAGGGGATCTTCCCAACCCAGGGATCGAACCCAGGTCTCCCACATTGCAGGTGGATTCTTTACCAGCTGAGCCACAGGGGAAGCCCTAACCACTAGACCACCAGGGAATTCCCATCAGCCTCCGTCCCTCTTCACGTCGGCTCCACACCTCGAGAGCGCCCTGATGAGCCAGGTGCCAGGGACACAGCAACAGTGTCCCCCATCAGGGTTAGCTCTCTCCTGGCCCCAGTCCACTTGAGACCAGGCTTTATTTGACCCTCACAGCACCGCAGGAGGCCTCCAGCACAGGGGTCATTGCTCCCACTTGACAGATGTGCAAAATGAGGCCCTCCTGTGCTTAAGAACCTTCCGTGGCGCCTGCTGCTGAGCCACACAGGCCTCCTTCCCTAGCGTCGCCCTGCAGCCCCCTGCATGTCCCTTGTCGCCCTCCACCCAGCTGCGGCAGACTGGTGTCTGGGTCCCTCCAGGTTCCAAACGTGTCCCCATCTTGGGACCTTGGATGGGGCTGGGATCCCCCGGGGAGCACCCCCAGCCCCAACCTGGTCTCATTTGCTTGCCTCTTTAGTGGCCCTTAGGCCACGCCAGCTCTCCCTCTCTTGGGCCCAGACATCAGGAGGACAAGGTCCCCACCCTCCAGAAGCTCAGAGTTGGGGAAGCAAATACGTCTATGAAAAATCAGAATGTGGTGGTGGTTTAGTCACTAAGTCGTATCTGACTCTTGCAACTCCACAGACTGCAGCCTGCCAGGCTCCTCTGTCCATGGGATTCTCCAGGCAAGAAGACTGCAGTGGGTTGCCATTTCCTTCATCTAAGGGATCCTCCCAACCCAGGGATCCAACGCAGGTCTCCTGCACTGCAAGCAGATTCTTTATCAGCTGAGCTATGAGGGCAGGATACAAGGCAAAGGCGCCTTGGGAGTGAAGGCGCCGACAGCTGTGGCAGCTCCTGATCCTCCCCCAGGGCCAAGAGAGGTTGCAGCATTGCCAAAGTGAGAAGGGCCAGAAGGGCACTCCCGGGGGGAGGAAGAGCCTGCGCAAAGGCCCGGGAGGGAAAGAATATGACTTGTTCCTGGAGAATCAACCACCATGTCCCAAGCCCAGTTCTGTGTAGAGATGTGGTGGCAGATGAAGCTGAGGAACATGAGGAATTTGAATGCCAGGCGAAGGGTCGGGCTTCATCCCCCAGGACAGGAGTGAGCAGACCAACCCGCAGGCGCTACATCTAGCCCATCACCGGTATTGGTACAGCCCGTGAGCTGAGAGTGGTTTCACTTTTTTCAAAAAAATTAACTAATCAATTAACTGATGTGGCTGCGTCGGGTCTCAGCTGCATCACCTGGGGTCTTGGTTGCATCATGCGGGATCTTTCACTGCAGCACGTGGGGTCCCTCGTTGTGACTCACGGGCTCAGTATTGCATCATGCGGGATCTTTCACTGCAGCACGTGGGGTCCCTCGTTGTGACTCACCGGCTCAGTAGTTGCACGGAGGCAAGTGGGTCTTAGTTCCCCGACCGGGGATGGAACCTGAGTCGCCTGCATTGCCAGGAGGATTCTTAACCACCGGACCACTGGGAAGTCTCTGTTTCTACTTTGGTTATTTACTTTTTTAAATGGTTGGAAAAATCAAAAGAGTCTGAAATTCAAGTTTCAGTTTCTATAAATAACATTTTATTGGAATGCAGGCACGCCCATTGTTTACATATTGCATGCAGCTGCTTTTCACTGCAAAGATAGAGTTGGTTCAGAGGCTCCCCCCCACTGCAAAGCCTAAACTACTTGCTATCTGATGCTTCCCCAAAAGTCTGCCCATCCCTGTTCTAGGAATTGGCAGTGGTTCCTAAAGGGGATTCTAGGAAACTCTCAGCCCATGAGATGCTCTGGGAGAAAAGGGTTTCCCAGGCAAGTAAATCTGGGTTCCTCTGACTGCTGCACCCCACTCTCTCCAGAGAGGGACAGTGAACAATAACACAGTAAAGGCACTGAGAAGTCCTGCAGGAAAGGACGCTATTCAGCTGCTATGAGTCATCAGAGGTGTTCGAAGATATTGGAATCCTCTCCTTACAGGCTCAGGGGAAGACTGCATATCTCCTTGGAGGGAGGCACGGCGGGGGAACTCACTTTGCCACTGAGATGCCAAGCGATGTGTTCCGAGTGGAAGCTTTAAGAGCCAGTGGGTGAGTGACCACTTCCTCTTCCACTGCCCGCTCCTGCCATGGCCCCCAGTGTAGCTCCAACAGCCTGGGTCCTGGAGTGAGGAGACTTGGAGCAGAGACCCCGCCAGCCCATGATGGACGTGAAACACGACCAAGAAAATGCTCCTTGCTGTTCTGTGCCTTTAGCAAATGAACAGGGGTGGAGGGTCATAGGGGAAAACTCACTGGGTTGTGAACCTAAAAAGTAAAGTCTAATTTTTTAAAAAAAGGCAGTGCATAATAGATAAACAACAAGGTCCTAATGTATAGTACAAGGAATTATATTCAATATCATGTAATAAACCATAATGGAAAAAACTATAAAATATATGTATATATATGAACTATCTTACACTAAGTCAGAAATTATATTTTGTAAATCAACTACAATTAAAATTTTTAAAAATTGAAAATGGGCAGAAGATCTGAA